TTTTTTTGATCAGTGGTTTTATTTTGCTTATTTTAAACTTGCACTTCGGTCGGCCTTGTTACCTTTAAATATGCCAACCTTAATGAAATTGACCACTGGGTGGATGGATGTGTGGGGCTGTTTGTAGATGGAGGTTGTGTAATACAGGGTTGTGTCTGTGCGTATGTGTGTGTTTTCATGCAAATCTTTCATAATCTATTCAGTATCAGTGAATTTCACTTTTGAACTTTGAGCTTTTGAACTGATCTGTACGTTTAAAAAAAACATACATAAGCAAATCTTATGTAGTGTATATAGTTTTTCCTTATAAGGATAATTCTTTTTTTATGCCGCAGCTTCCTTCCTTTTTTTATACCGAGTTTAGTTCGTCAAAACCTGACTAAATCTTTAAAAAGAGAATAGCTGCCACCATGAATCATTTCCATGTTTCAGTCTCAGAGGAACTATGATATTTACCTTCCTTAAAACATACCTGTATTGAAAAAGCACACACACACAGTTTATAAGTAATTAACTTTTATACCACAGGTTGCATACGAAAGTTGAATGTACATATTGTAATGCTACACACCAGTTATTGAATGTTCCGCCTGAGTGTTTTCAATGTCATCATTATGACACTGTGAAACTTAACGTGACATTCTGACTGGGAAAAAGTTACTCTAGAAAAAATGCCAGCCAATGAGAATACAATCATAGGGTAGTGAAGCCTGTTCTGCAGACACTGAATGGGGGTCCCGGTCACAGAAGGCTGGAACCTATCCCAGCTGTAAAACAGTGAGAGACGGGGTGCACCCTGGACAGGTTTTCAGTCTGTTGCAGTAATGGCAATCATAATAAACAAAGTGACTGTAAAATATTATCATTATACCATATTATTCTACCTTGTACAACGTGGTGTTGTTCATTCTGTTCCATGTTTTAGATTTCACAAGCTCTATTTAGCAGCTGGACATTGATTGGAGACTGAAGTGCTAATTTTAAATTAGGACCAAAAAAGATCAGTTCCCTCTACTTCCTGATTTCTAGCCAGTGGGTGCTGTGTGAATGTGTTTATAGTGGTGTGTGTGTGTTTTCTGACTTGCAAAGTGGCAGCAATTTTGTACATATTCAAAATATATATATTTTTTACAAGCCTTCCTGGTAGGTATAGTCTTTTTCTTTCAACAGCCTTGCCACGTGCTAGGTTAATCCCTTTTTTGTGTTGTATTGTTGTTGTTGTTGTTTTTAAATATATATATATTGCTTGTTGTTTTAGCTGCACCCACGCTAATATTGTTCTGTGTGAAAAAGACAAATAAAACAGCTGTCCAGACAGCAAATTTTGTGGTCACACTGGTCCTTCTGTGGGTGCAAAGGTGCAGGGGGCCACATTTGTGTTGTGCTCTGTTTTCCCCTACCATGCTGTAACAGTGAGCATCATGATATATTTAAAACTAGAGATGGAGACAAAGTCATTAGGACCGTAATCAGTAAAATCAACAGAGCTGTGGACTCCTTCGTTCGTCACCCCTTTGTTCTGGGCATTACTAATAATTAAGGGGGTTTTTTTTTCTGCTTTTCAGCCCTGAAAAATATGTTCATACGTTTCTGTATAGTGGTGTGAAAAAGTGTTTCCCTCCTTCCTGATTTTCTTGTATGTTTTTGTCACACAAATATACAAAAGTTTACGCAAGTTAAGATGAAATGCAGTTTCTAAATGAAAGTGTTTATTATTAAGGGTAAGGACATGAAATTTCAAACCTACATGGCTCTTTGTGAAAAAGTGGTTGCTTCCTAAATCTAATAACTGGTTGGGCCACCCTTAGCAGCAACAGCTGCAATCAAGTGTTTGTGATTACTGGCAATGAGTCTTTTACAGCACTGTGGAAGAACTTTAGGCCACTCATCTTTGCAGAACTGTTATAATCCAGCCACAATAGAGGGTTTTAAAGTGTGAACTGCCTATTTAAGGTCATGCCACAGCATCTCAATCGGCTTCAGGTCAGGACTTCGACTAGGCCATTTCAAGTAATGACATGGGGATCTGAAATGTGACAAACATGCAAAAAAAAAAGTGGCAATCACTTTTCACATCTCCATATGTATGCACCATTGACTATTTATATCAGTCTATGACACATACTATAAGGTGTAAGTCGAGCACAGATCAAAGTGCTACTTTTGAAGGGCTGAATAAATTGACTCAGGAAGAGTTTAAGAACTTCAAGACTGGAGACACAGTTTGGGGGCAGACTGGAGAGGGCAGACTGCCCCCAAACTGTGGATCTGATAGTGCAGCATCATCCCCAACATGCTGTGTACATCACCATAGAGATTTTAAGGGGCCATCAACAGGAACGATCTGCCTGAGCATCTGTCAGTTATTAACATGAGAGCTCTGATATAACCGGGTCCTCCTTCATTGCGGCTCCACCTACATAACGTCACCTTCTCAGCTCCCACAGCTCCACGTTCATCAACTCAAAATACAAATTCATGTTTGCTTGTTAATGATCAATAAACTTGTTTTGTGTTTTTTTTAAGTCTATGAAACACACTGGGCTAATGGAAATATAAGAATTGTTACTGCTTGTATTACATTATTTCCTGAACACAATGTTCCTGGAACTTGCTGGTTTGTAAGTGGTGTGGCTTCATAGTCCCTTGAGAAACCAATAACAACTCACACTGCTAAACCAAAGATTTCAGTCTTGAGACATAGTACTGTGCAAAAACCTTGAGCCACCTCGCATTTATTTCTATTTTGCTAGTCAAAAGAGGAAATACAATAGGTGCAGCTATTTATTTAAATGTGTGAGCATATATGAAAATACAATATATAAGACATAAAACAGAGTGTGTAGAATTCTATATTTGATATTACTACATACATTAATTCTTCCAAATAGTCTGAACTCTCTCAAGCAAGCCTTTGTATAATTTGTTTAAGTTGTCTTCAGAAATGTTCTCCAGGCTTCTCGAAGGACATTCAACACTCGTCTTTGGAGGCCTGCTGACTTTTATTCCATTTGCTGTCAAGATCACACAGTGCCTGAATAATAGTGAGGCAAAAGCCTGCTTTTACTTTTACATCCTTACTGCCACTGGCTGAAATGCAGGCCCAAGCCATGACACGGCCTCCAATGTGTTTTACAGTTCAAATCAAAAATTTAACATTTGCATATTCTTGATTCCACATGACCTGCTGTCTTTCAAAATCTTGAAGATCACCTAAGAAAACAAGAACAACAAAGAAGACACCCTAGCCATTTAGTGAAGCAAAGTATAAAGAAACAAAGGGTGACTCAACACTTTTGCACAACACTGTACTTCTTGGTATTGGTATTGAAATGACTGAACCTAATAAGGACTGTTTACGAAGAGAAAGTTAGCTTTACTGGAAATTAACTTGAAGGATTGTAAAAATGCTTTTCAATATTTAAGCTTCAAGGCAAAAATGTACAATAAGCCCCCCCAAGAGTGTTGATTGCATGTTAGTGTGTTCCTATATGGTGATCTCAGATGAAAAAGGGGGAAAGAAAGCAACTAACCAACACACAGGGACATAGGATATAAAGTAAAACTTTATCATGACATACAAGTTAAAAGCCCTGAGAACCATATCTTTATATTAACTGATATGAACAAAACTGAATGTGTGAAAACCACTTTAGAAAAGTGCTCCTCATAAATACAATCAGCACAAACCAGTTTTTACAAGCATTCATGTTTTGTCCTATTTTTTGTTTGCTTTAATCAAAGAGAAAACTATAATATCAGTAATATCATTATTATCATGTCCATAATAATAATAACAGTACAAAAATATGCACAAACCCCACAGTTGAATTAATATACGGAGCATTGTACAAGCCAAAAACAACATAAAATTGATAAATGAGGTATTCAATAACCACTTGCATATGCACCTGTTTGTACACAGATCAGGTTAGTTTTTAAACAATTTAAAATTGAACTGACTCCAAAATCAAAAGGTTCCGCATACTTTCAACTTCACAGCTTCCTGAGTAACGAGACCTTGCCATAATGCAGTTATTGACGACAAAAAGAAAAAGAAAAGAGACACCAAATCCAAAGTAGCATTCTGCGAAGTGACCGCAGCTTCTATCAGCATTTATCCCTCAATGCAGCTTCAACATCGTATGCAACACTGAATGCAGCTCCCTGCCCTGAGGTAATGTGGTATGAAGAAGTGGAGGGGGGGGGGGCGCACACACTCACTCACACTCCACACATGGATGCAGGTATACAGGCACAACACATTATACATAATGCACCTATCCATACAAGTGGCAAGTGACAGGAGCCTTGAAAGACAGTGACCAGAGTGGTTGCCGGGTTGAAGCAAACACTGAGGAAGAAAAGTGACCCTTTACTCAGTCTATGAGGAACCACCAAAAATGCCCTTCAACCTCGGAACAAACCGGAACTGTACGAGTATATAGCAGAAAAATGTGGATAAACCATATCTACTTAAATATTTCTTAAAAGTCATTTTTCACCTCCTCATTCAGCATTAAAAAAAAAAATTCACCAGTGGCGCCACCTGCAGTGCCTTTAATGTTATTACTTACTCAATATACTGCACCTGCTTGCACACACACACACAAACACACTAATGTACAAAGGCAGTGAAGCTACATCATCAAACAGTCATTGCTTAGAATGAGCACAAGAAACAGAAAGAATGGACTTGGAAAACAGAAAATATTTTAGTGGCAGCCTAAATAATGCAGATTGTTACTAAAAGCAAGGTCCACCAGGAAAAGGGAAAAAACAAATAAATATCAAAACTCACTTGATAACACAAAACTGAGGGATAACTTGTGTCTAAGGTCGCTTTAAAAAAAAAGAAAAAAAAAGGGGGGGGGGGGGGGGGGGGGGGGGGGGGGCACAAAGGATTAAGCTGAAGAGAAAAACTTTCATAGGGAAGCCTGCATGGACCGCATCTCACCAGCAACTACTTTTAAGGCAGCATCTATACTCCTCACCATTTATAAAATACAGTTATGTGTCATACAAGGTTGCGAAGGCTATACTGACAGACTAACAACGCAGTTCTCAAAGGTTCTTAAACCCTGACCTGCGATCTGCACTGCAAAACCTGACACATAATTGCTAAAATACAATCTAAGAAAAGCAACAAGGCTGCCCACCTCAGACCACACTAGGCGTAAAAAGGTCTAAACAGTTAAAATGCCTTACATTCAACACAAGTAAAGCTAGAAAGTGTTGTTCTTTTGTGGGGTTTCAATGCTTTTAAAAAAATCTTTAAAGGGAGAAAAGCATCCTACAATAACATGTTCATCATAATCAAGCTGTGCCTGGGGTAAATTGATAAAAGAAAATGCGGGCTACTGTCCACATTGACTGTGAGGGACTGCATAAACAGGTTAAACAAACTATTCAAATGCAACTGTTAATGAGGCCACTGTATCCGGCCTTCAGTTTTAAATAATGAAATCTGTTAAAAGGGTCGAATATGCCCACCTGTACAAGTCATGTAATTGGGTTTTCAGTCTTTACAGTTTTAAATGCACTTTCCACTAACTAATTGTGAAAAAAAACTCACAGTCAGTTTGAAAGAGTCTGAAAGAGACACCTTTTGCCGTCCAACACAGACCTGCTTGCTATGCATCAGCATCCTGTTAGCAGGATTGTACAAAGTGTTCATAAGGACTGACTGTGCTAGTCTTTGGTATGTAGCTGTGCAATAACCAGAGGATGGAGGTGTAAAAAAAAAACAAACACTGGTCACATGATTGTTCAAATGCATATCATGATTTTGCCATTGTCACAAAAAAGATGCAATTTCAACATACACAGTCAAACTTAAGGTTGTTTTCTTACCCCTATGGAAACACCATTGGTTTTTTTGTTTTGTTTTGTTTTTTTAAGAAAGAAAATTAACATGTCAATGAAAAAATAACTTGTCTGTTCCTCTCTGCTGAAAAAGCACCTCAGATATATCATTCTTCTCAGACAACCTGATGAACCTAAAAAAGGGAAAAAAAACCCCCAAAAAACAAAGAAGAAGCAAGCATGAAACACGTTCTACAAGTAAATACAGGAGAAATATATCAAGCCCATCCCACTTCTTTGTCCCCAAAAACCACCAGCAGTGTGACAGCACGTCCATAACAGTTTCAGTTCACGTAGGATTCGGGGCGTCAAGTCTCGATGGCTTCACAGCCTTTTGAGGTATGTAGTGTTACTCTCCTTTTCAGAGAGTCTGATGAGGTATTTTTGAAACAGTCACATAGGCTTGTGCATTCTTCACGTATTAATCCTCTTTTTTTTGTGTCTTTTTAAACTGACAGTGATTCCTTGCAGTTGTCACATTGCTTTTCCTGAGAGAGACGCCGCCCCCCCTCCCCAAAGCAGAGAGGCCAATGTGTGGTCAGAGATGACGATGCCACCCAACTCGACATTCAGCTCTGTGGCTGCAGCTGGAGGAAGGATGCACACAAAAAAATAAAAATAGGGGAACAACAAACTCAAATCTGGTCTGCAGGAGCTAGGAATGCCTCAGTATTACCTCTCTGTACCGCTATGGGTGAAACACAAATCGCAAGCTCTAACGGGCCTGTTACTGTTAACCCAACTTTGTGTGCGCACGTGGAGCTGAAACTACTTAAACTTTAGCTTTGCAACCTTCCTAATGGACTTCTCAAGAGCTCAACTGAGGGCAGCTGAAAGGATGAAATGAGGTATTTAATCTGCTGATCTACAGTATCAGATCATCACCAGTTTGACGCCACAGCACGTTGAAGACACCTGAGCAGCCCCAGTTGGAGGCCCATCACTGTGAGGGGGGGTGCTCTGTACACAGGTTTCCACTGGTGACAGTTACCCAACTTCCCCTGATTGCAACTAGGTCAAAAAGAATATAAAAATAAAGTTGATTCAGGTTAAATATACTACAGCTCCTGAGGTAAAGACACCACTGCAGGTTATTTGATTTGAGGTATGTAAAAGGAGGAGAAAAAAAAAAAAAAAAAAAAACCAAAAAAAAAAAAATCATTCTAAAACACAAAATCAAAAAAGACAACAAAATGGCAACAAACAAACAAAATGTTCTAAGATAAAACTTTTCAAGTTCGGTTGTGACTACACCTGTCAGTGGGTTTTGGCTGAGCTGATTGTGTTTAGCATGTCGATTAGGATTAACAAGTATATATATGTGATGTGTGTCTGTGCATGATGTGGTTGTAGTGTTGTGTTCCTGTGTGTATGTGCGTGCATGTGTGTGTATGTGTGTGTGTTAGATCAAAATAAAATGCATAGCAATTTATTTTGGATATATCATTAAATTTTCAGGCTCTGTGTTCATGATTGGACAGCCAAGACAGGTTGATGAGGTATTTGTTGTGCAACAGTTTCTTTTCGGTTTCTTATTGTACTGTATATTCATGCTGGGCCTCCTGCAGGAGCAGAGGCCTGGGGAGAAGGTACAAAGGGCAGCCTGAGTTAGGGTGACCCGGTGGGGGTCGGCTCAGCCGAGCCGGGACCCTTGGAGGAGGAGGAGGATGCGGGGCTGAGGCTCTGGGCTTGAGGTGCGGAAAAACCAAAGCTTGCGCTGGTTCCAGCAGGGGAGGCTGAAACAGCAGTAGCAGTAGCAGCAGACACAGATGGCCCCGGGGCCCCACCAGACTTCTGGGCGAACAGGGTTCCTAAAGAAAAAGGAGAAATGTCATTAGTTAAAAATGAACATTGATGCTTGAATCCTTCCAGAGGTTAAGCAAAATAAATTTACCTAATCCCACCCTCGTATCTACTCCAGTTAATTCCAGTGTACCCCAAGGCTCTGTCCTGGGTCCTTTACTTTTTTATCATCCATCTCCTACCCCTAGGTAATATTTTTAGGAAGCATAACATCCAGTTTCACTGCTACGCAGATGACACCCAGCTCTACCTATCCTCCAAACCCACAGCTACTCTCCCACCCACATCCATTTCTGACTGTTTAAGTGAAATCAAGCTCTGGTTTACTCACAACTTTCTTAAACTTAATGGCAATAAAACAGAATTCATTTTAACAGGCACCAGATCAAAACTGACTACAGTTCCAACCAGTCTTTCGTTATCCATTGATAACTCTGGTGTCACACCCTCCCCTCAGGTTAAGAGTCTTGGTGTCATCCTCGATAGCACTTTGTCCTTCACAGAACATATAAATAATATCACTCGGTCTTCCTACTTTCATCTCCGTAATATTAACCGTCTTCGTCCCTCACTCACACCACACAGTACCGCCATACTTGTCAATGCTCTTGTCACATCACGTCTGTAATTCTCTTCTCTATGGTTTACCTCATAAATCCCTCCATAAACTGCAGTTGGTTCAAAATACAGCTGCTCGTATTATTTCCAGAACTAGATCCACTGAACATATAACACCTGCTCTTAAACAGCTCCATTGGCTCCCAATTCACCTCCGTGTCAATTTCAAGATCCTGTTCCTCACTTTCAAAGCACTTCATAACCTTACTCCTCCATATCTATCCGATCTTCTCCATACATACTCACCCCTTTGTACACTCCGCTCTTCTTCAGCTTCCCTTCTGTCAGTTCCACCTGCTCGCCTGACTACCATGGGACTCAGAGCCTTTAGTTGTTCTGCCCCGAGACTTTGGATGCACTTCCACTTGCTCTACGGACCACACACTGTCTCACCACTTTTAAATCACTACTCAAAACCCACCTGTTTAGAATTGCATACACCTGATCTGTCATATTGTTTATGTGTTACTGTAAGGTGACCTTGAGGGTCTGAAAGGCGCCTATAAATAAAATGTATTATTATTATTATTATTATTATACACACCTGAGTAGATTGTGCCATTGACCTCTACTGAGACAGTAATGCTGGAATTTCCATTGGTTGAGATACTCAGAGACATGTCTTGCTGCTTCTCTTCTGAAAAACATAAATAAGAGTGGAGAGATTATTTTTGTGTATTTTCTTTCTTGATAATTTCACCATTAATACATAATATGTATTTAGTCAGTTTCATGACCCTTGACCCATGACAGTTTATGCTAAACTACACAACTAATGTGCATGATGGCAGAATTATTTCCATGGTCAAGAAAAACAACTTAACAACATCTAACCAAGGGAAGAGCACTGTCAGCTATTCCTGAAATACATGAAATTATTCAAATAATTACAGAATAGAATGTATGCAGATTTCTGCAAAGTCGTGCTGCAGCTTAAAACATATTAACTGATGGGCTTTGGTAAATCGGTTGCAGCTACATGCTCTGCAACGGAAAACACATTTGTTTTTGGCAGAAGAGTTAGCCTGGTAGGTTTGATGAGAACAAGAAACGAGCTCAGGTTTCCCCACAGAAAGAAAAAATTTAAGCAGTGAAAAGATGTTAACAATATCTTACACTTAAAGATTTTTTTCTGTTGGCTAATGCATGCTTTGCTACCAATCCCATGTACAGCAATAGGTTTGGGTCCATGATAGCAGCATGCTCTTTAGAGATATCCAGACTTTGGAGAATATTGGTGGATATTCCCCACAAACATTCACCAAAGTTTACAGATGTCTCAAAACACACTAAAACTGTGATTCCATGATATGATACCTCTAACTTCAATAGAAAAACAAACACTGTATTTCATTTCCAGGGTTTTTTTAGACATAATCTCAACAAACTTCTCAACACTGACCTCTGGTAGGCATAGCAGGGGCTCCCAGACGCAGGTTCATAGGCATTTGGGAAGCCATGGCCAGTAGATTGTGTTGGAAAGCCTGCTGCATCAGGCGCTGCTGCTCTTCTGCCAGGCGGGCCATCTTCCTCTCTGGCCCCTCTCCACCACCAGTCTCCAGCTTTTCTCTAAGCTGCTCCAGTGTGGCTGCCCTGGCCAAGCCAGCAACCTGCTGCTGACCCAGAGCCAGCGCCATGGAAGGTCTTGCAGCCATAATCGGTGGGGTCAGATCATCTGGAGGAAAAATTGAAGTTTAGTCTGAATAAGTCAAAAGGAGTGATTCGTGACTCTGTGTAACTTGAAAACTGAAATGCATGAATCTATCAAGGTGAATGTGAAAGGTTATCAGTCCTACCTAATGGGAGCTATAATAGTAAAGCCCACACCTTGATTGGACAAGTGGGTATATGTACTATCCATAGTACTATACTAAACCCAGTACTTAAGGGTTTTTTTCTACTATAGAAAAGCTGATATGAAGGACCTCAATGTTTTTGCTCAGCCAAATGATTCCAATTTTGTATTTAGGCAACATACATCAGAATGGATGAAAAAACAAAAGTGTGAGGTCTGTGTGTTGGCAAAACAAAACAAAACAAAAATATGTACGGTATATGGTTTCTTGCTCTCAGACAAAAGGTAAGCTGGCAACTGGAACTACAAATTTTAATGAAATGATCACAAATGATTATTATGTTTCAAGAAAGGCTTATGTGAGTGCTGTGTGAAAGAGCCTCAAATTCTGCAAGACACCAGAGTTTAGACAAGCCCCAGATGTATCTGTCAAGAAGATCCACAATTTCTAAGTGAAGTAGGGAGACATCTGGTTTTAGGTTACATGTGTCATTTCCTTTTCTGTGGCAGTGAAGATAGTACGCAACATCTGAGTAACTGTTATACTGAAATGTCTCCTATTCACAGCCGAATTATAGTAACCCAATCACCCCTATCGGCATGCGTTTCACAGTGGCTACAAGCAGGCAGCATTAGTTCACACAATGGGACACTTGAACTACAACATATACAGGTTACCCAGGACTGAACTTTTCTAAAGAGAGGCGCTGGTAACACAACACAAATACTCCGGTAACTTGGTGTTTCACCAGCAAAAACAAATATATACAACAGCCAGAAACTTGTAGGCCCCGACTACGCTTACTCCACAAATGGAGTTGTGTTGATAAAACATGTTTATTCTTTTTATGTGTGCAAGTTAAAGTTATCCACATAAGTTTGCATTATTTCTAAAACATGTTATTTTGTGAAGATTAAAGACTTTGGACTATAAGTACAGGGGTACTACAAGGGTTATTCTCTATAAAATTAAATTAAATTAAATTAAAAAAAAAAACACAGGGAAACAACCTTAAAATAACACCACCACTTCCCAGAAACGCAACCTCTAATAAACCATGGAAAACTCAGTATAGGTTACGGTTATATTTTACTAGTATGTATATCTATCTCCAAAAAAGTTGCATTTTGTGAGAAAAATGTTTAGCTGAACAGCAGAAAAACCAGACTGAATGTCAGATTTTTGCAGAAGACAAGCAAAATTTGTGTCTGAAACTTTATGCTGGACTCCTTTACATTTTTTAACAAATACATTTGGCTGTGTTTTGGTTCAGATTGTAATGAAAGCAGTATAAGTACAAAAAAAGAGAAACAAAGAAGAAACTGCAAGCCTTCTACATGTCTCTAAAACTTTTTGATTAAACTGATCTTTAGCCATCTGATTTAATTTCTGTTGTTATAAATATTTTTTAACGCACTGATTTATAACAAAGTAGAACTGGTTTGTAGCTACATCCAATATATGAGTCAAAATCCTTTTTTTTTTTTTTAAATTAAAGCACAGATTCTGCTGGGGTTCACAACTGAGTCACACACCAACAAAGTTAAAGTAACTTCAGAAAAGATAGCAGTGTAATGACAGTTATCAACCAGATCCCAACTATGTGGACTAAAGGCAAAGTTCACAAAGTGTCCCCAACTATGTTATTAAGCCGTAATAAAGGTGAGGGCCTCGATAGCCTGAGGCAGAATTGGTTCCACCCAGATAACTGGGTGTACTCCATACATATACAAAGACATGAACACTAAAAATGCACAAACACACAGGGACACACACGGAAGCAGACACTCACATTCACATGGATATTTGACAAAAACAGACCACAATGCTACGAAGTGTCAGGCACCATATGTAGGGAAAAGTCCTCATCAAATTACTAAAACCAGAGCCTTTCCTGTAGCTAATGTTTTATTTTATGGTTTATCAATTGTTTTCACAGGTGTAGTTTTTCAAAACTGCAACAGAGGGCAGCATTTCTCTACAATCTCTTTCAAGGTCTTAACAAGCAGCACCCAGCTATAGTAACCAGTATGAAGTTTCTGATATGAACATTTACTTAGTTCATTGTGGCCTTAATTGATCCAAAGGACCTTTAGACTAACACACAGTATATACATCTGAGAGCTGCCAAATAGGCAACAGAAAGTAAACCCCACTTCTATTTATTAACCAAAGGGCATAGATCAGATTCTGGTGTTTTCTTTAACCTCAAGCTTTCAAACACGTACCTTTCTTCAAAGAGGGTCCCGGTGAGGCCTGAAGGCCATTGATAGCTACTGAGGCCCCCGCTCCCAGACTGGAAAGGTGCATCTTTGGGGGTGAGAGGATGTGGGGAGCAGTGCTGGGAGAAGGAGAAAAGCGGAAGAGGCTGCTGCTGTAGGACGGACGGCGACCCTCACGTCGGTTACTATCGATGGCAGCCTGAAGCTCGCCTGGGGAGCTGAGGCCTTTCCTCTCACACTCATACGGGTACAGGTATTTCATGTACCTTAAGGAAAACGCAAAGCACAGCAACACGTGAGATCACGACAGAAAGATTTGCACAGAAAATATCAGAAATAATATTGTAATATTTGACTACATCAAAACATTACAGCTGAAACATAATATTAAATGAGAGAATCTGTTAGCATGTACAGCAGTGGCATCAGCACCCTTTTTTATGAATATGTAAGAAAAGAAAACATTTTTCTCCTTCTTCCAATATGAAACTGAATATGTCTCATTAATAGCCTGTCAATAGTCTAACATTTTGGTTCTTCAAAAACTGTCCAGTGCTATTTGACTTAAGGTGAACCTATTCTGGTAATTTATTCCTAGCTACTGTTGGGCTCTTCTACAGTAGGCTCCCACCATTTACAGTTTAAAATAGTCCTTATTTTCTAAAGCAAGTTGTGTTAGTTCCATTTCCCTTAACTTCAAGACGACTTTTTTTTTCCCCCTCTGACTGGCTGCAAACAAATATTTGCACAGCAAATGGGCGGGGCTTCTCAGACCACAGTTAGAGATGAACACCTGAGATGAACCTATTAACAATTTTCTCACACAGAGAGCTAAGACTAGGCAAAAAAAAATTATTACAAAGATTACTTGCACATATGCTAACACACTCTGTCCATTTTTTTTAAGATGAGCATCCAGCACTCTATTAATGTGACAGAACATAAAAAAAAAGCACACATGGGGAAATTTAAAGCTGCAGTACATAGATTGGATTCTGCTTCAAGCAATACATGTGCACCGAGAGATGCACTGTTTATCCGAATGTGTATATAGCTCAGTGTATTTGTTCAGATAGTAGAGATAACTGTTTTATTTCACTGCGACTTTTTGTTTTTTGTCTGTACTTTAGTTTAGAACAAAAAACAGACTGCTTTGAATAAAGACCTAACCTTTTATCTCCAGCAGTGCTGTCACAATGATTCTGTCAAATCCTTTGTGCACGTTCACACATTAAAAACCATTTGCAACTTTATTTCTCTAATATTTGATCCTTACAACAGACATTAGGTTGCATATTTATAAATCAAGCCACTTCAGTAAAATGAAAGTAACCTCCTTTCTTAAATGTATGAATTTATATAGAATTTACTGCTTTAAAGCTTTGCTCAAAACATGTTTGGTGCACTTTGCATGACATCACAGCAGCACTGCAAGTATGCAGAGTCACAGCTCTGCAATGTTTTCCATGCCATAAATGAGCACACTATACACATTATGCGTGCTTACTGCATAATGGTGGGATAGAAGTACCAAGGATCAATAAGAAGCACGAGCAGCAGCATCCATTAGACAGAGCTAGCCGACCAATGCTACACAACAGTCCAGCAACATTAAAAATACATCAAGGCTCATTAGGGATATGTACTGCTGGACAAGATAGAGGTGTTACCTCTGCTAAAGGGTTCCCATCCAGAGAGCGATATAGTTTTAGTCAGGGTTCGACATTATAAGCTGTCAATCAAACCCCACCTTAGTCACTGTGAACTCTGACCAAATTCACATCATTAAATCGATGGAAATCAATCATGTGTGACGTAATGCACTGAGGGGCTCGGGGTAAAGAGAAAAGTTTGGCCAGTGGAGAAAACTTGTGTGTGTGTATAAATACACAGGTATGGGTTCTAATGAATGACATTCATACTCATTCCAACACACAAATCCAAACACTCCTAACAACATGTCTACTTAGAAGCTGCAGCCAGAGCGGATCCTTGCATGTGCGTGCAGGAGGCGTGTTTCCGTATGTATACTAGGAAGTAAAACTAGCTGTCACAACAATTCTCTAGACAGCTGGAATTATTAAAATAAAAGACATAGTGAGAAGGACAACTGGAAAAGATGGCTGAAATGCTCCCGAAATGAACATATTTAGTGCCTGAAGAAGCTTTTGGCTTCCACACGGTGAGGAAAGCTGCTGAAATTCTTTAATCGGTTCCAGCACCTTTAATTAGTTAGCTTTGTGTCACAAATGCAAAGACCTACTGTGTCCGCAGAGTAAAAGCAGCACTGGTGATGGAGGTAGGCAGGTTGAGTCCCTTTGTGATTTCTCTCCAGATCTTCTTATTGATAACCTCGACGAGGCCTCCCTTTTCTGTCACCAGCTTGTACAGCATGTACAGATCTAGGACCTGCTTGGCCATGATTGGAATACGATTGACTGGGGTTCCTACGGAAGACAGGAAAAGAAAACAAATATGGCTCAGTTAATTATAAACAATGTCTTACAAAGGATGTCTTTGGTTCAAAGTGCATTTATGTCTGACATGGATAAAGTTTTTAATACTCAGACATTGAACCTTAACGCTGAGAATGGGCTCTTTCTGACCAAATACTGACACACAATGGAGTTCCCTCTAAAATGAAATACTTTTACCAATAGTCATCTTTACTTTGGAAAAAAAAAATCAAATAAAAAAATAAGGCGGGAGCAAGGTGGAACAATCCTAATCAGCCGTTTCAAGTTTTTTGTTTTTAATGCAGTGAACAACCACTTTGACTGCCACGTCAATTCAAAGCAAGGCAGAGCAGCAACAATAACAGAAGCAGCAGAGAGAATCAACATACTGGCTGTGTTGCTATTTAAGCACAGTGCATGGCTAAAGTTAATGACCAGAAACCTTTCCTCTGCTATGTTAAAAAAATGGCAGTTGTTTCCAGTTTAATTAGTCACAGTGAGCCCAGCCAGCAGTTTTTCTTTTTCCAGGGCCACTCAGAAGTACTCGTGAACTCCCACGAGCACAACCCTTAGAGTGGTCTGTGGTTGGAACATGCAAAAAGGTGTAAATGTTAATACAATGGAAAAGGACCTGTGTTTAACACTCGAATTTCTGCTGAAATATCTTGACTTGTAGAGACACTAGAGGAGAAAGTCCTGAAGGAATATCTTAATAGCAAAGAGTCACACAAAGAGTCAAACAAATGTGAGATAGGGGAATCATATGAGTCAATCATGTTGCTACATTGATGCAATTACACAGTTGAGTTCCATGACAGATAGAAATGTGTGTTGGCAGGCATATCTACTTTTTATTGTGGTAAAGTTTTAAAGTGTCCTCACCGTTTTTCTTTCTGGTAATCAGATCGCAAATAAACATGTGAGCGTTTGTTCAGAGCTCTGGTAGGTTGAGTGAGGCTGATTAGGCCAGCAGTCTGGATTGAGCCAGAAATAAAAGCTGTATTGTGATGAAACACTGAGCATGTGTACTATAAATATAACCTGTGCGAAAACATGCTTAAGCTCATTTTGGGCCAACAACACTAAACTTTAAGCATTTTTATCAGCCTTACATACACATACAGTTTCTGAGTGACATTTGAAGTAAAAGTTATGACTCTTAATTAATTAATTAAAACAGGCACTTTGTCTTGCCAACACAAATCGGCCTAGAGGCAAGAATGACTTTAATTTGAAGTTTTTACAGTGAAAATTGGATTCTGCTTCAAAATATCAGTCAATGGTGAAGCACCCAATATACTTTTGTGACCTCTACATATTGTTAAGGGTTGTTAGGATACTGGTTAGACATGGGTGGCAAGGGCTACTTCCTGTGAAATTTGCCTTGAAAACACATTAGCCCAGTTAAGCAATTTAGCTTGACCTGGAAAGGGGGATTCACAAACAACACAAAGCAAAGCTGCTCTAGACTTTTGATACAGATGCATTAATCTTGTCAACAGCTTATCTGCAGCGAAGCTTGCTGGGAGCTTGAGGGGCGGATACGGTGGGTGGATGAAGAGGGAGGGGTAGTGGGCGGTTCCTGTACGAAACAGAATCAAAAAGTGCAATGTGCAACCGTGTAAGCATGAGGCAGGAGGAGGGGACTGAAGGATCGTGACAACCTGCTAATCCACGGGCAGCGGTGGGTAGGGTGTGGGGGCTCATGGATAGGCTGGTATAATGAAGCTTATTTAGAGGATTGCACGGAGTAAATCCACACCCCTCTGCGTTACTGCTGCCAGGCCCAGCACAGGGGAATTGTACAGATTTGTCTTCACAGTTAATGCCAGTCAATCCGCCAGCCCCTCCACAGGCTGCTCTTAACCTGGAATTGGACTCATTAATGACTCTGTGAAATAGCAGTGTGATCAGGCCATGAAGATTAGCCCCGATTCATTTTCCTAAGTTAGCAACATGTCTTTAAGCCATGTGCAAAGGTCCTAGGTGAACACATGGACCTTTGGAGTGGGGAGATCAAGACACCATGATGGCACTAGCAAAGCACTATGACCTTTTAGGTGTCTTAATGTTAGTGGTCAAGGAAATCTTTTACTACTACTGTATCCACTGAAAATCAATCGTCTCTAACCTGTTACACAAAAGTCACTTTTAACAAATCTTTCTCTAAACGGGCTTTGGAAGTACAGGCTAACTTCAGTGTTACTTTTTCATTATTCTGTGCACTAATTAAGCCTGAAGGCTTTTGGATCCTGCTGCTAAGGGTTAAGCATTTAAGGACAGTCCAGAAAGCTGGTAGGTACGATAACACATAAAAAGCAGAAAACACCTAAAAGAATACCACACACGCGCGCACGCGCACACACACACACACACACACACACACACACCACCGTACCTGTAAAATGAAGTAAATTAAAAAGTTCACCTTTATCCATATAAATAAATAACACAGTCGATGGTGACATCTAATGTAGTATTTATAGCTGATGGATTTTTTTTAGTTTGTTAAAGCTGCACAAAATTGTTGTGGGAAAAGGGGATCCTATCTTCACAGCCAATTAATGGAAAATCAAGAGTGAGCTTGTCAAGATGCTAGTTTCTTTTATAGATTATTTGAGTTTGAGTCCTGTGGTAAGAGAGAGAAGATGAGTCATAGAAAGGAACAAGAATTTGTTTAAGGTTTCTGTTTAAGACCAGGTGTGCATTTCCACTAGATTTAGCAAAACATTAAATTAACCATAATCCTAATGAACAAAACTCCTACCTCACTTTTTCTTTTGAGGGATATATTTAGAGGGAAGTATTTATATATATTATATATATTTATTTATATTAATGTGCCATATTTACAGCCCATTTGTTTGCACCAGACTAGCTGGACACTAAAAGCTTCACCAAAGTATCGAAGGATGAATAAGTGAATTAGAATTGGGACATTTTTATTTTGGTTACACAATTGTTGTGCCACTATCTCTGATCATTTGAGTATCAAAATAAGTAAATAAAACGGCAATTAAAATTCTGCTAAAATGATGAAATATGTGCAATAAGGAAGGAAAGAATTGGAGTAATAATAGTGTGGATTAGTTGCTGTGGATTCGAGGGGAGTAAGGTGGAAAGAGCAACACCAAATTTTAATTTATATTGTTGCTGTTTTTGTTTTTTTTAAACAGATTTGGATAAATTGCTCATTCACCCCAATAAATGAATGAATAAAATTTTCTAGAATGATTTAAAACGCTCAGTTTTGTTTTCATTTTGGCATGCAGCTTTTTCTTTGGCGCTAATTTCTGGGTGAAGGTGCCAGCTTCTATCAAAGTTTGACTTCAAAGCTTGACTGATAGTGAAATTGTATATATATTAAAAAACACAACATCAACACAAAGCAAAAACCAGCAAAACAGCTGCCATTGGCCAATTGACATGTTCAAATGAACCAGTTGAAGAATGGAGAGCTTCTACTAAATTTTCTACTAACAAGCAATGCATCAAAAGGACCAGCAGCACTACGCTGTGACCATCATTCTTTGATGCAGTGCTGGACATCAATCCTACATTAAACAATTAATACAACTAAGGGGGTCAGAGATCAGCCAGGGGTTATTGATGTGTGAATTAAACTGCAGGTCAGCAGGAAGCCATGTTTTCATACAGGCCAGGCTGTGAACAATGACAGCACAACAAATGAGACAACAACGCTGGCCCCATAGTGACAGGCCAGCAGCTGGTTAGGATTTTTATTCACGCCAACACCTCTGTCATCATTTGCTGTACAATAAAGTCAAAACAAGACTTTATTAATTACATACAATTTTAGAACATAACCCATAAAGCCAAAAAGTTAACAATTTCAGACAGAAGAAAACAAACACAAATATTCATTTATACATCTTCAGTGGACCAGATGTGGTTTTAAAAAACAAAAAAAAAAAAGGATTAATTATTCCATGTGTGACATCAGTCACGTTTCACATTTCAACATTGCTCAGCCACGGGTGAAAGCAGTGGGAAAACACCTTTAATAATACTGTAATTGAGCAAAAATCACATTAGCAAGGCTTGGGCAGTTAGCCAGACACAGTTCCCTCATTTGCGAAAACCAGCATGTCACCAGCCTTTGGTGTTCAACATCTGCTCCCTTTCCAACCCTGGAGACATTTAGCTCTAACAGGCTTAATTAGACCAGGCCCAAACATCTCTTTTGATCACAGTGGCACTCTGCCTCGCATGCACTCTGCTCTGGTGGAATACCTGTTCCCACTTCAACCTCAATGCTTAATTTCCACTAGAGAAGACTAGAGACTTTATGATTACCAACACAACCAACACAAGACCATCTCTTCCTCAAGCAGACAGCTATTGGGCGTTTCATCTCTCTGTAAAGACCTGATTTGTCCATTGGTCTGCTCTGAGTCTATCTGTAATTGGCTGCAGGCCTCACCTCCCATCATCCTTTGCCCCGGACTGATTTTTCCCCAGGGACACGGCCATCAGAAGCCTAGTGATTAATGGCACCAGAGGTCAGAGGTCGCTCTGGTGGGAAGTGCCGTGGCTGAGGGCCCCCGAACCACTACCCAACTCTTTCCTCCAACTTCCACCAAGAACACAAGAGCCACAGGGCTAGCCTTCAAACAACTCGACTTCAGACGATAACGGATGCAGATTATAAGGACAAAAAATGCAAGAGGAATGTATTCGTGGAACAATATTTTTAGGAGTAAAAACAAATCATTATTCTTATATTTTATAATTAAGATGCTTTCCCGTAATGATTCAAGTGCGTTAAACTATGAAATATAAACTCCTCATCTAAAAAACTCACAATAACACAGTATCATATGAAATAAAGAAAACAGTATCTAAAAATCATTTCAGAGGCTTGTGATCACTTCATAAGGAAATACGGCAGAAATAAACCAGATAAAGAAAAATGTATTATAATTATTGCTTAGAGAGAGAATAAAATGCATGACTTTGTATCTAAATGA